CACACATACAACACACAAGCACACACACACACAGTCACACACACACAACAACACAAACACACACAGTTTGGGCAGCAGACGGGCCAATTAAATGGGTCTCAGGGTGGCCAGAGGTGCCCTTGCATGATGTGCCCATAGATGGCGGTTTTCTCCTGCACTGAGCCTGTGGATGTCTCAGCTTACAGTATGTTGACAGCTGGCAGCTGGAGCGAGTCTGGGCCGCAAGGCAGTCTGTGTTTTTCTGTTGAGTGAGTTTGCCATCGCTGTACGCAGCAGACTGATGCTGTGGTGCACAGTAGCAGCAGCTGCCTGCTCGGCCTCGATTCCTCGCTCTGTCTGTCCTCAAACCTGTTTGCACAGCTGGTGGAAATACTTTCTCCGAGTCACTCATGTGAATTGAGTTTGAGCTGCTATAAGTTAATTACTCTGACTTAACCGTGTGCTGAGACAGACATCCCCAGTCTGTAGCAGACAATGTTTATCTTGCTGATAACTTGAATCCTGTTCAAATTTTTCAAACACTCTGGAGCAGCTTGAAAGCAGAAACCTGGAGATGATGGCTGCTCAATTAGCTGTGTTAACCCACTTAAAATAAACATTTGTGACAAAATACCAGGCATAAGCACACACACACAACCACTTAGAGTCATTTCGTGGGGGCTTTTATGAATGTGTGTGGTAGGAGTGGTGCAGGGGTCTTGAATTGTATTAGGTTTATTGTCACACATACTCACATGAGTACAGTAAAAAGTTTACAAGGTGCCACTTATGGTGCCATCGTAGGTACAAAGGTACCTGGGTACGGATTCTTAAATACAAATTCTTAGGGAAAAACATTCGGAAAATAATGAAATAAAAAGTCTAGCATTACAGATTGGAGGAATAAATTAGGAAAATAAAGAAACAAATAAAGAAATAACAGTCCTCACAACCCAGTGGATGCCAGCACTGAGCCCCCAGTCCGTGCTGGGACTTGACTCCAGACTGTGCCAGGCTCAGGCCGGGAGTGCGAGCCCACGCTGAGGCCGGGAGCTCGAGCCCACGCTGAGGCCGGGAG